TTACGAACTAAGGAGTAAAACGAGGTCCACGCGTACGAATTATTAATAAAATTAATAATATTTGTATTCATCTGGTCTTACTTGACTTTTACTTTACGTATGTCATGCACGATGACATTTGTGTCAATATTTGTGTACGTCCCCACTAGGCATAATTGGGATGTATTTTTCTAATTTGTCATAAGTTGTGAGAAAGCCTGTAGCTACAACTGGGAAAGTATGTGTCACCACTGGTGACAATCGATATTATTTATGCCATTTATCCTCAGTGGCGACAAAGCTAGTGTCGACAACCGAGAATAGACGCCAGTTGCGAGGTGACCATAGGTCCCAAGGGGAAATGTACGTGTACGTGCACCACGAGAGGTGGAAACCAAAAGGTAGAGGCTTGAGGATCTAGGCCCTAGAGTGCTGAAGGGTACGCCTGGCCGTCAGCCAAATTTTACGTCGCACCATAGAGGCAGTTCTGCCTGTATTAGAGGAGTGGGTGCGACGGCATGATCGCCTCACACAAAGGGCGACCCAGGTTCTACCGGGCCATGGGTGCTTCGGGCCATTCCTCCACCGTATAGGCCGAGAGCCTGTAGATGGTTGTCAGTTAACACTGCAGTCTTGGCACGTGAGTCACCGCAGCAGACTGACACGCTCCAACAGTGCCCAGCCTAAGCGAACGAGCGGCGGTTGGAAATGACCTCTCCCTACCAATCGGGAAGAGGCGTGAGATAGATAGATAAATTGTTTATTTGTTGTAACACACTTTTTTTAATGCTTTTAACACACACATTATGTATAGTTGCTATTGAAATTCAATTCAATATCGAAATAAAGTTAGTTAGTCAAGAAACACACTAGGTGACACCACTGGTATTTTGTTACACAGGTTAGTAATAATTTCAACAGTTGCAACATAACAAAAGTGACAAAACAACATAAGATAAAGATGACTAGCGTTTCAAATAGTTCCCTGCGTCAGAGTGATGTGTGCCGCAGCGATGCAAAAAGCAAAGAGCTCAGTATAAACACTACCCTCAAAAGGGCAGAACACTGATTTTCAGCTTTTGCTAGAGAACGCATGAAGCGTACAGGTACGGAATGAACCCGCTCGCTTTCGGAAACAATATCTACATTAGTATAAAATATATGATGAGACAAATAATCTTATGGTATAGTGTGCTTACTTTCTGTGAAAGTGTTCTTTCACAGAAAGAAGCAGTGGAAAGGGGGAGCGAGAGGCCTCAGCCGACACTCCGGTTATCCGCCGCCGACACCCTGGGCGCAAGAGGACAGCTTATGGTCTCCAACTGTCCCTTCCTAACAGGCCTCGGTCGCTAGACATGGAGGTGTCTGGTGGCGGCTAAGGACGAATGCTACAGGCAACAGCCAATGGCGATGTCCCGCGTTCCCTCATATCACTCATATGGATCATGGCAGAAACAGTCAGGTTTTTAGTGGGTGTAGGGGCTACCCACCTTCTGGTAGGAAGAACCCCACATAACCCACTAGCTGCCCCCGCAGCTGGTGGGTATGAAATGTTATGCATTTTCCGGATAAAAAAAGAATAGTTAACAGGAAAAGTTTGTTTTGAATAGAACCAATTTGAAAAATCTCTCACCATTAAAATTCAAATTTTTTTCTGCTGAACATAGGCTGTATAAAATATTGTCAAAATAGTAAAAAACCTTTGATAATTTACTATTTGATAAAGAATTTACGTATTTATTATTTATTAGGACTAATGTATACCATGATTTATAATTATGGAGTCGGTGTTGGAAGATTTGAAGATTTTATAGTTTCCTTGAGCTGTCACTTGACAGCCTGGCACACTTTTACTATGGTGGATCAAAGTATTTTGGTTTGACTATAGAGCGTGAGAACACCCACACAGTCACAATTATTTTAGTGTGAATAAAAATAGCATCGAAATTACCTAAACTTGACATGCCACGCTAGACGTAAACGCTCTTAATCTAAAAGAATGTTCTCAAGTCAGTCAAGCTAATTTCATATTTATGACAAAATCATGTTCCTTCTACTGAAAGTTTTCTTGCTTAAATAGCTATAATTCTCGTATACCTATACCCAAAAATATAAGGAACTTTACATAATTGGTTAAATCTTCATAAAATACCTACATAAACAATAAAAGTTAATAGTTATTACATAAAATTTTTCCATTCATTATTTTTTCCATAGCAACTGAATTGAATAAACAGCAAAACAAAGTTCTATTTGAACTGAATTGGTTTACAAAATAGAATAAAAAGTTTTACCATTTTTCATATTGTCCCTCTGAAATTCCAATGCCACGTTTTATTCAATATAAATAAATATTTCCTCTGTAGGGAAAAGCAATTCTCTACAAGCCACGATGTTTTATTAATATTTCGCGCGCGATTTCATCTCCCCCACCGTTTAATCGAATAGTCGAATCGTTTATTCGTCGAATAACAATTCTGTGGGAATCGATAATTGAATGATCGGATCGAATCGATTATAAATTCTGTCAATTCTCTTTGCTAACGAAGGCAAATTTAATTCTTGCAGAATCGTGAGAGTCCCAATTATCTTCTTTACCTGCTTGCTTTTGATATTTTTATGAACATTTTAATTTTTAAAGGCGGCGATACACATGCCTTTGAAACGGAACAGTATCCTGCATGTTTGCTCATTAGCCATTGCTTGTGCAAGTAACTGGCGCAATTGGATACACAGTTTGCGTTCTTGTATGTCTAAGGACGCTTTCAATTTAGACGTTTCGTGTCGGACATTTGCCGTGCGTTTGTTGTGCGTTTGCAGGACACGGAAAATTGTCAGAACTGCAGCCGAATAAAATTTAAATTACCAATAAAAATCAATAGTTAGTCGGTCTTGCAAACGCACCACAAAAGGACGGCAAACGTCCGACACGAAACGTTTAAATTGAAAGCGCCCTACATCTAAAAAAACTGTGCGATCCCCTACCTACAGGCATGTCAGTAAGCGTATACATATTATTATGACAGTTTGTGGCACATGTAAGCAACTGGTATTCAAGAAGTGTACTCGTACTACCAGGTAGAGGTATGTATAGCGCCACCTTTAAGCGAAAAGCCAAACTCTATTTAATATTACGACACTTACCTACCTCAATACCAAATCAAACACGACAAAGTAACGCGCACAGTTATCGTAAACTACATAACAACTATAAATGTGTCGTGTACCTTCAAGAGTACATAAACTTGGCATTTCCTTCGCACTTGGCTGCGGACTAGTGTAGTGTGGTAATGTAATTTATCGACAATACTAACTGTAGTGTTAAATGAAATGAAATAATGTCTTTATTCGATTTTGACCAAGATTTGGCACTTATGACCCGATTGAAAGTATTTTAGCTAATTTATTATACTTTTATTCATTCATAAATGTTTTCGGAATTATTGACCCGATAAACCATGCAAAGGTGGAGAACCAAAGTGACCGACATAGCTCGCAGAATTGCTGAAATCAAGTGGTAGTATGCGGGGCACATGGCTCGTAGAGACGATGGCTGTTGGGGAGGAAAGTTCTCGAGTGGCGACCACGGGCTGGAAGACGTAGCATGGGCAGGCCTCCTACTAGGTACTCCTGTGAAGTTTCCAATAATAAGTTTAACGAATCTTGTTAAGAGTGTCTTTAAATTAAAATTCAAATTGTTTATCTATGTAAATAGGCTCTCAAAGAGCGTTTTTACACGTCCCTGTCCTACCACTGCTGCGGGCCAGTAATATAGGCCAGTGCTGAGAAGAAGCAGCGCAAGAAACTCATGCCCGTTTTCACCATCAATCTCTAATTTTAAAGTGAACCCTATGAAAACAAAATGCTTGTTATGTGTTACCATAGGCGTCACTTAAAAATTATGGATTGATGGTGAAAACGAGTATCAGTCACTTATCGATTATTTATCGATATAACTACTACCACATCACTAAACCTGAAAATGCCAAACAAACCATTTGTACAGGATGTCCGAGCACTCAATAAGGCGGTTAGACGTAGTTTGTTTCGCCAATAAACGGCATTTGGGGGCCATGATAAATGTGCGAAAGGTCCAAATAATTGTTTATTATCTTTCGCTTTCAGAATGGGAGATGTAACGGGTAAGGGGTAACAGCTGGCGCAAATTGCGGGTAGCGGGAGATCGTTAAAATTGGTGGCAGTTTTGGCCTGCTTAAATGTGGGATCTTATTGGTCCATTGTTACGTGGGCATCTAGTCTAAAGCCTGGTCCGTGAGCACGTAGAATTTTGTCCAATGACCCCAAGCTACCCATCCTTATCGCTCGCGCGTGATTATGTTTCTATAGCGCTCGCACACTCACTGCGGGCGCCCGTCGCACAGTCGCGACAGCAATATAATTACGCGTGAGCGATAAGGATGGCTAGCTTGGGGTCATTGGACAAACTTCTACGTGCTCACGGACCAGGCTTTAGTTAAAACAAATGTCATCGCCTTTCGTACGCTGCCAACCGCGAGGCGTGACGTTTACGTTAGGGTGCGGATAAGTGTGCGTTGCAGTACAGAGTTTCATACAAATAATAGGCTGACCACCTCGAGTTGATACGGTTACAATCCCTTTGGGTTGATAAGTGTGCCACGTCCTTTATACTCCTTATAAAATATGTAGTTGTATAACTTTGACAATAATGCTTTTAAAACTAACTAGCTGACCCGGTGAACTTTGTTCCGCCTTAATGGCAATAAATAAGCAGACTTTTTTTTTAATTTCGAACGGGATAAAAAGTATCCTATGTCCTTCTCCTGGCTCTAAACTACCTCCCTGACAATTTTCAGCTAAATCGGTTCAGCCCTTCTTGAGTTATAAGCGAAGTAACTAACACGACTTTCTTTTATATATATAGATAAGTTACTTTTATATTTCGCATCTGTGCACTGAGACTATGACCTCTAACCCCTCCTTGGGCTTTTATCTTGGGTAAATGACTCTAAAATAAAGCTAATTCTAGTATTTTCCCACAGGACCGGTAAACTCCACTACCCCACAAATGTGTGCGGGCCACTCTTCGAGGAGGAGCTGGAGTTCTGGGGGCTGGACTCCAACCAGGTGGAGCCTTGCTGCTGGTCCACCTACAGCATACACAGAGACACTCAGGTCAGTGCTACTTATAGTTGTTTTTAATATGGCCGTGCGTTTTTGACATCTAGCCGGTGTCAAGTATAATGATATTCAATTATACAGGATGATTTTGTAATCAGTAACCATTTTTTTAATAAGCACTGTAGAACAATTTAACAATGCAACTTTATCTTAATTATTTTTAATCGTAGTATTTTTCGCGAAAAAAATTATTGAAAATCTAATTCACAGTGGCCGGGCATATCTTAATTTTTAAATGTCAAGGCTTATTTTCGCGTACCATTATGTCTATTAAGCTTTTTTAGTTAACAGTGTGTACGTATTTTTCTATGGTCATGTAGATTACGTTACCAAAAACGGCATGAACGAGCTTTTAAGGTTTCTGGTGAAACTGGGATCGAAGGCATATCAACGATTTTGACTATGATTTGTTAATTTAAAGTGGTATACGGATTCCAAATAGTCTGAAATCCCGTGTATCTGCGAACTCTATCCCTTTGGAATCGTATGTTAAATTCTGTGCATATCGTAGCAAACAAAACAAACTACTGCACTGTGTTTTGTTTTGTTTTGTTTTGACACTGCACTTCTCAGAACAATGGAAATAATAAAGAGCTTCTGTAAGCTTCCGAAACTAATTCGGATTCTGAGTTTCATACTTTTGTTGGTTTGATTTAACGAAGAAATTTATCCTGCTAGGTACTAGAGAAAGACCTGCCTTAAACCTTTATTTATTTATTTTTTATGCCTTATAGTTGGCAATTATTTAGGGATTTTAGGGAAAGAACTATGTATCATGAGTAGAGTCTTAGTTTAAAATGATGCCAACGATTTCACACACACATATGAAACACGTTGTTCATGTTTTGTTTTTACATAATAATATTTTTTCTAGCTAACATTCTTTGAAAAAGTTTATTATTGCTCAGCAGGACGAGGTCTGTTTTATAAATAAGATACTAACATTGGCCTAAGTTTTTACTAACATTTATGGATCTCAGTTATCTCAAATAAATACTTTTTTTTATAATTTACTAGCTGACCCGGCGAACTTCGTACCGCCTTATATCAATCTTTCTGAGAGATTTTCTTTATATTTTTTTCCGTAAAAAGGTTGTACAGAGTATTAGAAAACTACAAAAAAAAATCAGCCAAATCGGTCAAGCCGTTTTCATGTTATGTCGTGACAACGGAAAACGGGTTTCATTTTTATATATATATAGACGAGCTTTATATATTATAGATTATTTAAAGTGACTTTGGCAATTAAAAAACTTAATTTTGCTCAGACTTCTAAAGCCATCAAGTAACGTGGTAACCAAACACTTCAATTTATGTGAAAGGGAAAACTCGTCAATGCATCCATCATTGTCACGCGAATGATCTGCCCAAATTACATCCGAAACTGGATGTAACTGGATGTAACTGGATATAACCAGCCAAATCCAGGTTCATTAATACCATATAGCCCGGGTGAAATCGAATCAATTCTCTTTACACCGATGTCAACGGGATTCATAAGGAACGACGCAGACCAAATACTTTTTCAATAAGATTTTTCCTGACCAATGTCGAACTAAATGCCTAAAGCAGAGCTATGCCAACTGGATAATATAAACATTATTATAACCTAATAATTTTAATGTTAAAACTTAGTAGGTTAAATCTTCGAGAAGCTTAAAGCGTTAGCTTTTATTGGAAGCTAGATGCAATGATCAAAGTCCATAATACACGCCGTAGTTTACCTACTTGTCGTAGCACACAAAAAACGAAACGATTTTTCGATGCAAAACGATTCCTATACAAAATTCAACAAAAGATTAAACGTGCGACTTTTACCGCTTTCGTATGTAGAAAATCGTATAATCGCTGACGACAAGTAGCACGTCTGTTATGGACCTAATTCAATCTTTCCGTAATGTGGACTCATTATCGCGTCCGTAGCAGAACGAAATTCACATCTAATACCCATTCATTACGATTCACAATCGAATCACCGCGTTTTCTATGTAAATCGAGACAGCCTTTGGTAAAGTATCCATCAACTCCTTTGCACCTTAAGTTTCGCGTTTAAAGTCTGATTTCGCGTGAATGTCCACGAATTTTTTGAAGACATTTATTCATGTTGGGTATTCAGGAATGCAAAGGAAAATGCGCCATCTGGCCCCCGTCATAAAACGCGATAAGGATGTGTAGCTTGATTCAGTTTCCTTCGAAGAAATCTTTTGATTCGAATGGGTTTAAAAGAAATGGGAGTGGACCCGCTTTAAGTGGATTTAAGCGATTTTATACCTTAAGACGAGAATGAAAAAGTGTTTGTACTCGTGATATAATTATAGTACTTACCTGAATTATGGAACACGTCTTTGAAATCTTGTTAGGAATAGATTTTCAGCTACAAGTTTGGAATTGAAGCAAACTACGAAGTTTTTGAAATTGCAATGTTTTTGAAATTCAAGAGATTTTCAGCCTTAATAATTTTATAGTTAGCGACAATACTGTTGTCTAGTAGTAAGATTACCTGTCCCAGTCTCACAGACCTGGACGTCCTGGCTTCGACTTCCAGTGGGGAAACTTTATTGGTTTATAGATCAGGAAGATAAAATATACAGGGTGGAATTTTGCAATGCCACCTGGAGGGCACGTAGATAGAAAATTTTACTCAAGTAAACATTCCTTTATTTTTGAAATAGAACTTAATAAAAAAATATACGAGAAAAATAAAATACGAAAGTCGACGGTAAGCTCAGCGATATAAAAATACTTATGTACCATACTCGGAGTTTCCCTGCGTGATCGAATCAGAAATGAGGAGATCCGCAGGAGAACCAAAGTAACCGACATAGCTTGTAGAATTGCTAAAATCAAGTGGCAGTGGGCGGGGCACGGTGGTTGGGGCAGGAAAGTTCTCGAGTGGTGACCACGGGCTGGAAGACGTAGCGTGGGCAGGCCTCCTACTAGGTGGACCGACGATCTGGTAAAGGTCGTGGGAAGAGCCTGGATGCGGGCAGCGCAAGACCGTTCATTGTGGAAAACCTTGGGGGAGGCCTTTGTCCAGCAGTGGACGATTTTTTTTATCCACAACGAGGAAGCTCTTGATGAACTTGATAGTAAGTGACGATCAGGCCGAAGGTGGAAACGAGCTTCACCCGGAATCCTCAACCACGGAGGAACTGGCTAGATCTTTAACTGTCGGAACAAAACAATGCTGTTAACATTATTGTTATGGCGACAGACTTAGGTAAGATGGTGGTAGCTAGCCAGGCAGGCTTAGAACAAGCCCTACCACCAACCAAACCGAACAGAAAAATCTGCCCCCACTGGGAATCGAACCCGGAACCTCTGCGTCTGAAGCAGGTGGTCTTACTACTAGACCACAGAGGTCATTTGGCTGAAACGAACGAACTAACGAAACATACTCGTTTACTCGTATTGAAAACCATAACCTTATTTCCACTATACCGTGCATAGGATAAAAGTTGGACTAATTTCTTTTGCAGACTGTACGGCACGGATTCAGTCATTCTATGTTTTTACGTTGGGCGTAACTCGCTTGAGCGGAGCTTACGATTGGGGCCATAAAACTAGCGATGCACCGTTATTTTGCATGTTAACTAGATAAGATTTACCACAGTTATTTACTTATTAAAAAAATCGTTATTTGTATCTCGCTTGAAAGAGGAGATCACCTCTCCGATTTGGTAGAAATCGTGCCTAACGCTAACGCCCGTATTCACAAACATTACTATGAGGTCTCACAGTGCGCGTGGACGCACAGGGTGACCAATCACAGAGCTCTATTCAACGCAGTGCGTTCGGTTTGCTGCTTCACTTAAGCAAGTATCGTTTGTGAATATGGGCGTGAGTAACGAAGACCGTTGCCTAGCGACTGATACATTGGTAGTACCGAGTTCCCATATTAGAAAAGAACTGTTATTACGGCAGCTCTGTTACACATCTTAGCACCGCTCTTTTTCCTAAAATAATCTGTAGCAAGAAAGCAACCATACATTTATGTGACGTCATCCATACCAAAGGTGATAGTGTTATGTAAGAAATTCAATAGAATAATGTATATGTAACTCCTAGAAATCATATATCAAAAACTTCTCCCAGTTGGAATGGACAGAATTTTATGATAATTGCAGCAAACACTTTAAACCTAGAGCAGTAAAGTCACAAATAAAATAATAAAGATAAAAGCGTGCTAACAAATAGTTCCGCTCACTTTATGGCCCGAACTTTATAGCTGAATGACGGTAGTCGAGCGTTTGTTGAATTGGCTTCCGGCGAACGGTTTCCTTTAAACAAATAAAATGGCGTCAGAAACTGAATTTTACAGTTACAGGCTGGAAGCCGTTTTATTGATATTAATAGTTTAAAAATAGGATTTGTCAGTCATGTTTGAATGATCAAACGAACTTACCAAGTGAAGTTCGATCTAAATTATTCGTCACTACACTGCACAACTTAAAATAATTACGTTTTTTGTCGGTAAAAACGTCCTGGTGACGTCACTTAAGCATTTTTCTTATACTGCGTGCGGTCGTTGCGCGTGCGCACAAAGGAATGAGACCGCTCGGACACCGAGCCCACAGCGTGGTAGGGGTGGGGTTGCCCGCTCTTTTGTTTTTTAATACTACTACGCTGAATATTGTGTGCGGATTGGGTTGTCGTACAGGGGTACTACATGGTAAAATAAATCTCGGAGGCGAAAGCAGGATAATTTTTATCGAGGTATAAAATATGAAGGCAAGTAAGTCTTATTTGATTCTTAAAGTTTTAAATAATTTAATCTTTCATCTAAATTTATAAAACTCAAAGGTGACTGACTGACTGACCGACTGACATAGAGATCTATCAACGCACAGCCCAATCCACTGGACGGATCGGGTTGAAATTTGGCATGCAGATAGATGTTATGACGTAGGCATCCGCTAAGAAAGGATTTTACGAAACTCCACCCCTAAGGGGGTGAAACGGGATCCACGCGCACGAAGTCGCGGGCGGCCGCTAGTTACCTATTATTACAGAAATAAAGATTTCAAACATACTCGTACCTAGTTACCTTCACTAAAATACATGATACTTTAAATTGATCTCCCGCCGCGTCGCTCGATCCTACAGTGCGGATTTTAAGGGTTTCATAATGTATGAACATTTTGCGAAAATAAACTACCCGTATGATGGTATTTGTAATTTAAGTCGGAAGAAAGCCTTCTGACCTTCGACCCTTGAGGCGGGTCGGGTTGCTTAAATAATAAATAAATAGATCCTACTATCACACTAGTGGCTTCTCTTAGCTAAACTAAAGCTTTTGTTTATAAATAACAGTGAATATGGGTAATAAAAAACTTTAACCCTTTAACTTTTCTTCATTGGTTTTTGAATCTTATGTTTCCTCAATGAAGTTCACAAATTATGACAACTGTAGCATAAGACATAAATTAATTAATAATTAATGTATATAAAATGTATAAAATAAAACAACTTTTTTTGCTCTGTCAAGGTGAAGTGTTAAAATGTTGTTAAAATGTTTAAGAAGAAAAAAGTAACAGCATTAAAAACTATTTGTTGGTTTCCAACAGCAATTCAGCCAGTACCAGGTGAAGTAAAATTGGAGACAAAACCGATGAGTTTTTTTCATCTTTATTTTTACTATTTATTATACATAGCCCAACGAATAAGCAAGCTGAAGTGGCAATGCGCAGGGCACATAGTACGCAGAACTGACAGCCAATGGGGCAGCAAGGTTCTGGAATGGAGGCCGCGTACCGGGAAACGCAGTCGTCGGTTCACCTTGGGTGGATACCCACAAGGTGAACCGACGAAACCGACGAAATCCATGAATGCAGTTCTCTTTCTTTTCAAAAATAAAGGAATGTTTTCTTTCAGTAAAATTTTCTATCTGCAGTATTAAGAGTACTTTCCCTCCAGGTGGCATTACAAAATTCCACCCTGTATATGGCATAGGCACGCTGTTGACCACGCAGCTTGTAGATTTCTGTCTGCAGATTTATTTTATGCTTAATCTAATAATGAAATTAAAAGTACACTTTTTTATTAGTTCGTTTTTATATATTTATCAATATCTTATATCCACTTTAATTTATTTCTTATCGGTTATCGCTTATCCAGTTGGTGTACTGAGACACGCGCACATTAACGCCAGGGAATTCGCCTAGCGCGCATTCGTGCCCGAACGAGCAGATGCCGACTTGCACTCCATGGTGGAAGACTGGTCCCCCAGAGTCCCCATAGCACTGGTCGCGACCTCCCACGTCCAGAATACCGGAGCATAGCATGTTGTCAGTGATCGTATATGGCATAGGCACGCCGTTGACCACGCGGTTTGCGAACCGCTGCCTGCAGATTTCCTGGTTCACAGTGTATACTTGCACGTGACGCAGCTGCTCTGAGTGAGACGTGAAGTTACCGTACTGGAAAATAATACATTGTTTTATTAGTTTTTATTGGCAAAATAGGTGTATAGTGTAGCGATATCAGCTCTATAATCCAGCTACTTAAATGTATGTACATTTATAATATAGTACGACTGCTTATAAATGACACCTCGCATGCGGAACGTTATAAACTGCGATCTCCAACCCGCCTGCCAGGCGTAGGGTTTATGGCAAAGCCCTCCACTGTGGAGCAGCCCCACACTCCACTTTAGTGGAGGAGGCTCATAGTCCAGCTGTGGACTGTAAAGGGCTGTTGATGATGATGATGATGCGGAACGTTTAACGTTAACCTCTTCACTGTGACGTCATATATCTTGAGAACTATCCAGTGAACAATTTTGATTTTATCTTATGTCTAACGATCCCGCCCGATCTTTTTAAGATATGTGACGTCACAGTGAAGTGGTTAACGGTAAACGTTCCGCAGGCGAGGACTCATTTAAGCGGTCGTACTATAATTCAGCTCTATGTTTAACGTAATCCATATTTTGGGAAAATTTGTACATAACATTAATAAATTCATTAATTCATCACACTGCGACTTCATCCAAGTAGATTTTGTGGACGATGATTGACATTGTGTTCATGCAATGTTGTACCATCATGTCATGGTTTTTGAGCGATATATGGCGCAATTCGCGGTGTCGTGACGTCAATGATGATGTCACACGCTTGATTGTTTATCCTTAAAGTCAAAGTCAAGATTTCTTTATTTGCATAGACTATTATATAGTGCTTACAAATCGTCAAATATTTCGCATGCGCTTCGAGGCCAACATTTGGCAAGTGCTGAGAAGAAGCGCCGCAACAAACTTAGTCACCACTGTCTGCCGGTTAATAAATAAATTAAAAAAGCAGTAGTAGGTACATTTAGTTCAGGAGCAGTTCACTGAATTTAGCACGCATTCTTGTATTGTGGCTATCAGCCCAATGAAGGGATATAACAAAGAACATACCTCAGTCCATCCCCAGCCAATAGCCCAGACCGGTTCGTTATCGGCGAGGTTGTAATTAGGACCAGCGATCAGGGCAGGTCTTGAAGTGGGTGTGACGGGTATGATGTCGGTAAGCCAAAGGATCGACAAGTCATTGTCTGGTTCAGCTGGCCAGTTGTTAGCGTAACCGGGATGGATAATAATCCTTTCAATACTGTAGACAGTCCCATTCGAGCTTTGGTATGAGGATCCCACGCGCACACGACGACCGGCTGGAATAGGGAGTCTGGAAAACAATCGAATCAATTGAAAGTACGAGTATATTTGTACCGTAGTTTGTATGTGAGTTTTTAAGTTAACAATTGGAGACGGAATTACGCCGAGAGCTTTTTCCGTATACTTAGGCGAGAAAATAAGTACAATTATCTGCAAATCGGGCAAATAATTACTTTATAGTTGTGGGCAATGGCTATAAAAAATACACTTCCACCGACAGGATAGGAAATTGTGCGTCGTGCATTTAATTTTGAGAAGAAATATTTTACAAGAGGGTCCTAAATGGTCCATTCCATAATTTGGTATAGTATTGTCTATCAGCGTCGGTAGACAGATACACAACGAACCCCTGATGGACTAGCCTCATCTTGGTCAAAATTGATTTCGGTTACTTAAGTAAACGATGCGAGCAATAGTTACTTACTCAAGGCAGTGAGCAGCAGTCAAGATGGCCCTGTTGTTCAGAATAGACCCTCCGCAGTATTGAGCATAATAGTTGCCCCAAACCCTCAGCAGAGCCACCATCTCAGGATACTCCTCGATGGTTGTGAGGGACCCTCCTATGATCCTTTCGGAGGTCTTGGCGGCTTCAACATAGATTTAAAGTTAAAATTTAAACTGTAATTTCATGTCTTAAAAATAACTATTCCTGTGACAGCAATGTTTATCTGTGAATTATATTTAGCCTAATCTCGTGTAAGAAATAAACGTACAGTCAAGTAGCACAGTTTCCCGACAGCGGACTCCGGAAAGAGTTATCCAAAGACTTGAATGTAGGACTCATTCCTCTCACGCAAAGCAAGATGACAGGATGAATGAAGATGACAAATATATTCGAAACTAAGTTAACAGAGTTTCAGAGTAGCCCTCAAAGGGCTGAGTGTGAGTTTTTTTCAATGAGCGCGTCAGAAAAATTAAGTAAACTTACACTCAGCCCACTGGGAAGATACGTGAATACTAATGCCACCTAATGCCTCGATTTAATAAATTTTTGGTAATTCCCACATCTTAACACACAAGAAGAAACCATTTAAGGCCTTGTCCAGGAGGGAGAATTTGCCTCGAAACCTACGCGCGAACACGAGGATACGACGACGCGATTTAAAGCGCGAATTTTCAATACGTGGGTGTTTTGTGGACGTAATGTGTTGGCTCCTAGTACATATCTTGCCATCGCGCGTATAATTCTACGCGCGTAGAATTTTCCCTCCTGGACAAGGTTTTAATGATTAGGTACACTGCACAAATCTTTTACCTGCTGCCACCGCCAATGTTATGGCAAAAACAATAAAGGATCGCATTTTGATCGAGTAATAGGATTGTATTTTGATTGATTTCCGCTTTTATACATAAACTTTGATCAACTATCGTTTCCTATTATCTTTTATCTACACGCTAATTATAACATATTATTATCATTTATTATTATTTATCAACTCATACATTAGGATGGATTTTCCTCTGACCCGAGTTCCTAATCTTTATCAAAACGTCTTGTTGATTACACAATACCACATTATACAGTGTGAGTCACGATAAAGTGTACATATTATGAAACTAGACCTAGAAAGTATATTTTTGTTATTTATCGACATTTTCTGAGTAATTTATGTATTTTTTAAGTTTTGCCTGTTATTAAGTACTATTACTGTATTTATCAGGATTTACCTCTTAGTTTAAAGTAATTACGTTTTCTTTACAATAAATGATCGGAATAAAAAAATCTATAATAAATAAAAAAAAACTTTAATAAATTTGACCTCTTTTTGTCGATAAAAATACCTAATTTCATATGTGCCCTTTATCGTGACTCACACTGTATAAACTTAATAGTCATATCCATGCCAATACATTTTTGTAATAATACGAGTAGGCCGACTATTTATTATCATTTATCTTTATTTGTGGGTATTATTTATCAACTTCAGGACGGATTTTCCTCTGATTAGAGTCCAGAGTCTTTATCAACACGTATTGTTGATTACACAATAACAAAATTAATAAATTAATATTAATAAGTCATGATAAAGTGTATTATAAATATCGATGAAACTAAACCTAATTTTATCGACAAAAAGAGGTATTTTTTTTTAAAATATTAAAGCTTTTTTTCTTCCGATTTATTTATTGTAAAGAAAACGTAATTAATTTTCAACTAAGATGTAAATCTTGATAAAGAAAAAACAGTATTAATAATCGGCCAATAAAAAAAAGTGCTGTATGCTGACAGAATATGTCTGCCTTAGCATTTGTTACTATGGCACCAAAGCTGTAGGACCACTGTGCGTCGAGTAGGTATTTGAGATCTAAAAGTCATCGACAATTCATACATTTTTTGTTCAAAATCAAAAGTGTCGGCCAATAAAAAAAAGTGCTGTATTCTGACAGAATACGTCCGCCTTAGCATTTGTTACTACAGTAGAATCTTGATAACTCGAATGTCAAGGGAAACCAAAAAAAATCGAGATAGCAAGTTTTCGACTTAACAAGAATTTCGAGATATGAAGAGTGAACTCATCAAATTTCGACATAAAAAGGCACAATTTCATAGACAACCAAAAGTGACCAAAAATGAAGAAACATAACATCTGTGTTTCTTAGACATTAGAAAGTTTATTGAATGTATTCATTCCTTGCACGTATGCACGTGTGCAAAACAAAAACAATAGATAAAAGGCCACGAGCCCCGAACATTCCTTTTTGATTTTATTGCCACGAGTTTTGAGCTCCGGGAATCCCGAGTAAGAAATCATTATATTTTATGAACTTCGACTTACTGAGGTAGGTATTTGCAGTTCGAGTTACTGAGTATTAAAATGTACGAGTAATGCCTCACAGGGAAATAACTTATTGTTCGAGTTACTGAGTCTAAAAAATTCGAGTTACTGGGTTCGGCGGATGGGAACAGTACCTCTAGTAGGAAAAACTTTCGAGTTCGTTTCGTTGCGTATTCAAAGTGTCATCGAAAAATTTTGTATGAAAAATTAAACAGCGCCCCCTAAATGTAATTTTAAATATAGTTCCATATTTTACTGAATTTTACTAAATCAATATCAACTAAACACACTTTAGTCAAGTGTAAGACGTGGTGTAGTAGAAACTAATCGAGTATAGTTTGGAGATGACTTTTTTTACTAAGCTCCTCCAAACTATACACGATCAGTAGGGGGCGCTGTTTAATTTTTCATACAAAATTTTTCGATGACACTGAATACGCAACGAAACGAACTCGAAAGTTTTTCCTACTAGAGGTACAGCATATTTTTTTCGATTTACTGAGGATTACGACTTAACAAGGTTCGAGTTATCAAGATTCTACTGTATGTCACCAAAGCTGTAGCACCACTGTGCGACAAGTATTTGAGATCTAAGATTAATCATCGACTATTCATACATATTTTGTTCAAAATCAAAAGACGTGTCAGCCAATAAAAAAAAAGTGCTGTATGCTGACAGAATACGTCTGCCTTAGCATTTGTTACTATGGCACCAAAGCTTTAGGACCACTGTGCGTCGAGTATTTGAGATCTAAAAGTCATCGACGATTCATAAATTTTTTGTTCAAAATCAAAAGTATCGGCCAATAAAAAAAAAGTGCTGTATTCTGACAGAATACGTCCGCCTTAGCATTTGTTACTATGTCACCAAAGCTGTAGCACCACTGTGCGTCGTAGTATTTGAGTTCTAAAAGTCTGTCTTTTTAACATTTACGATTGAACTATTTACTAAAACAAATGAAATATCTTGACGAAACATCGCGTTTTATGTTTTGGTTAACACGATGTACTTATTGTCGTTCACATACACTGCATACCCAAAAAAATGCACCATGGGTACCTTCAATACTAGTTGTTAAAACTAGACGCGGCTTATCACTTCTAGGAATTAAACCAATAGCCTTACTCTACCGCTAAACAATGGGCACACCGCCGCACCGCACCACAACACCCCTTTTTTACGGGTAAAAATGCGTTGATTCGCATACCTACCCTGCGGGGACAGGGTCAGAAGGACCGTTTGGCTGAAATCTCAAAAACCCGTATTTTTTAAGTTTGACCTTGAATTTTTTTTAGCACATGTCGGATCGATGGGGACTTTTCACAGTTAATTCATAATGGTGCTCCGAACATTCGTACCAATTTTCAGCTGTATGCGAATTATTGCAGGGCTCATGTCTAATTTGACTGGACTATAGGTAGGCAAGCTAGGTTTTACGTTACAACTAACAGGAAAGTCGATTTGTTGCGCGAGTCAATCGCAATAACACGAGCCCTTCAGACTCAGATCCTAACTGAAATATGTTGCTAGTGTCGTTACTGTGGCATATCGATAGTAAGTTGCTTTTTATCGATATGGTTTAATCGACCTACTGCTAAAAATAACAAAAGAAGATCAACACTATGATAGTAACACATTCGTAAAGTACATCTGTCAGATTTGGTTGAGCAACTAACAAAGCTAACAAAAGTCTGCTTTGCACGTTTCTGCACATTCTCTTAATTCCTTTGTTTTGGTTTTTTTGCCGCGTAGATACCTATAAACGAGACTTCGGCAGATTTTATTATGGAGGTCACTCTGTGGGTCATAATATCCCAGACCGGGCCATAAACAAAATAAGAAGTCTGCTTAATCTCATTCCATCTTCTATACTAGTTACGTAGCCATATTATTGCATCTACTAGTTGGACCGACGATCTGGTGAAGGTCGCGGGAAGAGCCTGGATGCGGACAGCGCAGGACCGTTCATTGTGGAAAACCTTGGAGGAGGCCTTTGTCCAGCAGTGGACGTCATTCGGCTGAAACGAACGAATGAACGAACGATTTTATTGCATCATCCTTCATCGATAACAACCATCGACACTGCCCTGATACATCCCTATCATTCTGGTGTCTGCTCAGGAGAGATGTGGGCCCGCATTTGTTACTACTAACGGTCCGGCCGATCTTTGAAATATGGCCGCGGATACTGACCAGTCTGGTTGTGTCGGGAATACTTAATTCCCAGTATATTTTATTTCTGTATGTAACGCTGACTTTGACTGGATATAATAAATAGTTAATGGAAAAGCATATTAAACTGATGCACTACATGACGAAAACACCGTACCGTTTTTGATAGAAAAAAACACTTAATACAACTAACTACATTTTAGGCTGAGTTGCACCACCTAACTTTGACCGTAACTTTGACGATAACCGGTGTTTTTTGTATGGAGTTAGATATTTGTCAAGGTTAAAGTAAGATGGTGCAATCCAGCCGAAAATGCAGCAGTATTTAGCTTGATGTGCTGTCGTCCTACTATGTACTTCACCACCTTGACCAATAGGATTGATTTGGTATAAAAGAGATAGATAAGTAGGCATGGTTCCGTAGTCCGTACATTAGAAGGCACCCTAAGCCATGTCCGAAGTGTTTAAATACTATAGCCGGTTTTCTTTATCCAATCCTTATCTAAATCTGTCGGTCATTTGTCAAATTTCAATAATGTTTTTGGTCAAAATACCTACGGTTATTAAAGTTTTTATTAATGTTGTTTATAAGACTATTTAAACAAAATGAAAGTAGCATCTAAAATTATGGATATTTGATCAAAAACAGATTGAAATTTGACAATTGAAGGACAGATTTGGGTTGGGATTGATTATAGTAACCCGGCCTATAAAATTGTAAGGTTTATGAGTCATGAACTCAAGATTGGTCTTGATATTGAAACTGAACCAATCCATTGTTTATGTCTGTGCTTAATTTAAAACCGAGTTTTGAGCGTCATTTTGTAATACGGGCCATGATGTTTGTGTAACTAGTTTTTGAATGTGAAATAGGTAGGTACGATAAGAGCAAAATTCCTTGCTAAAAAAATTGAAAGGAAAGTAAACGTAAACATGTCCATTTATTCTTAATCTCACCTCAAAACTCAAAGCAGATCCGAAATTGCAAATTTTTATTAAGTTTGATAAAAACAATCTCTAACATCTCTTGATATCAAATCTGGCAACAACTGATACACATTTAGAGATCTATCAAAAAGTTCAAAGATAAATTAAATACATTCGTTCATAGTTCCGCGTAGATTTACTGAAGTCTCAGTATGATTCGGATCAAAGAGGTTATTTTCGATAAGTATACATAAGGGCGCGTTCACGTTTGATGCCCTGTACAGATAATCGGGATGTTGGCAATTTTTTTTTCTCTCTACATTAGCCCGTAAATATGCCCATTTCTTGGTATTTATAATTGTAATAATAGAGCTTATTACTCACGAGTGCTTTTTCGGCATATTCAGCTATACTTATTAATTTAATGATTTATGGATCATCACAAATAATGTTTATTAACAAAATATTCTTATGTATATCTCTACTTATATGCATAAGTAGATAAGAGGCGAATCCCAAAAATAATCTCATAAAAATATCATGAACAAGAGGTTGGATGACTTTAAAATGAATGCTCCCCGTACTCAGGGAAATGTGGTAAATTTTAAGGTGATAATGCAGTGCATATTCTACAAAACATTTTTATTGAAGAAAATAATTTATTCCAGCGGAGGTTTTGTAAGCCCCTTCCGCTTACTTTGAAGTAAGACTTGTACACCATTTTTTATAATTAGGTATTATAGACTACATTCGCAATGTGCGCTCCAATGTGGATGCGCCCTAAGGAT